GTCGCTAATGGCCTACCTCGGTGAAGTGTGCCAGCTCGCTCCATTCCATCAGTCAACTTACGAGTACATGAGCATATTTTTATCGTTTTTTAACGATTATTTCACAACAGACTGTAAGGTGGCTCCAAAAAGAAGCATTCGAACCTGCAGTAATCGGCACAGATACCAACCACGAGTAAAAAAAATCGTAATATCAAATGAAACATGGAATCGTAGAAGTAACTGTATGCCGGAATATCAGATCACCGGGATGTATAAAGAAGGACAAAGGAGTAGCGATTAGTTTACTGAAAGAAACCAACGGGATTAAACATTTACGAAGAAACATCATATGTTCAGTAGATCCTCCCAAATCGCCTACTTGGATTCTCTTCGTCACACAGCTTCTGTCTGAACCGCGCGGATTCTGATTGGTCGATATTATTAGCCTGTGGTTCGTTATCCAGAGTGTAACGCATAAGCAGCCCCTTAGCTAACACTGGAGGCATGGATCGGCACAGTACCATACCCACATCTTCCTGGTTGTGGCAGTGTTATCGGCCCGATTGGGCACGGAATTGCAGTGCTATATTATTATTATATTCAAATCAATCTCTGCAAATACCGCGCCAAAGTGCCCGTAGGTTGCGAGAATAACAGGAACAAACAAAAACGGTCGGTTTCGCTTGTTCGGCGGCCGCGATTTTGAACATTTGTTGCAGTCTTTGGAATTGCACTTTGAAAAAATGTATTCACGCCACTGACTTTTATTCAATGTCATATCCCAGACTGTCTCCAACAAACGACGGTTTGAATCTGAAGGCCCCAGTCCAGAAGCCGGCAAGCAAGGATTGAAGCCAGGTTCGAAGTTTCTTCAACTCTCTATGCCACGTCAGTTTGTCCACCCGCTGATCCTTTCAGTTTAGTCCATCGCCTGAAAGCAACATATCGTAGGGCAGACGTATCCCAGAAACGGGCAGGATGTGCCCCAACGTCCATGAGTGCAGTGAAATAGCTTTGTCTAACGGAATACTGGTTTTGCCCCAACACACGTCACCCGACCTGGTTACCCACACGATGGTCCCATCATTCGTGAGTAATACCACGCAGACAACGGTTGTCGAAAACAGATAATATTCCTCCATGAACCGCTCCGAGGTCTAGTTTCGCAGCCAAAGGATAACATAGAGCCTACAGCAAACCTCACTTCAATGAAAGGATGTGTCACGCCAATGCACGCTGACAAACGCCAATTTTGCTTTAATTACGCGATGAGAGATTCCACCGACATCTCTACCAGCCGTTTTGCAAGTCACGAAGTAAACACAGTTCCCAACCTCTTCTAGAGTGTCATCATCCTCTCCCCCTCCTAGTGAAAAAGGTGCAGTAATAGATTCTTACCAAACTTTGAGTAGCACCTCACACTTTGGAGTGCAAATCACATGCCTTACCGAGCAGCTTGAACTGCCAAGCGGTTTAGCGTGTCTCGCATCGTGTGTGCGTTGTCACCCGATAAGACTATCAGCGGCAAACTCTGAATCTACTAATCTGATTCCAGGATGAAGCTGAACCCCAGCAATCGTTACAGTAAGGGTCCTTGCAGGACATTATCCATGGCGAAATTGAAGAGCAGCGGAGAGACAGTTCGGTTCGGTTTGCACAACCATCAACCATGCACTATAGTGCACCGGTTTTGGTTGCTATCTTTCGGCTGCCCATACCCTCGTACCAGGCCTTAGCTTGACCACCCCTGACTTTCTTCCACCCACTACCTGCCTCCGCGAACATGGCTCGCCGTGGCAACCTATCTGGTGACATGCGTAACACATACCCTCAACCAACGTAATCTATGGAGGTTGACCACTTGCTCCAGTGGGCGACCGCATTTACCTAAAACTATACACCTAACCTCAGCATTGCTCGTCCGGCTGCCCCACCAGATTCGTGTAATGCTGCGTACACAGCGGTGTTCCAACACCGACAGTCTATCTTTGTCCTGTTTTCTTAATGGCCAACTTTCTGCTCTATATAGCGAAGAGATAGGGCGAACGTCGTACCTCGCTGATGGCGTCCGATGGTTTGGAGCTCCGCAACGGTAAGTCGTGACTTCCTTGGAGATGTAACCACGTCCAGAGTGGATGATAAAATGAACCAGACACGGTGCCTCGATAGACCGAACTTTCAAGAACAGCCCCACTGACCTGAGGCTCTGGCTCACCAAAGGCTTCGGGTGTAAAGTCCTCCAAAAAAATTTACCTGTGCGCGCAAGCCAATCTCGGACCCAATTCCTGGTTATAAAGATCATTGTACCGTGATTCGTTTGGCTAATCGTTTAGACTCTTGTGTGAAATACAACAATGCGGCTTCGTGACTACATCCATGGAGAAACTAGGTATTATAGTAAAAAGTAGAGTCGATAGTCGGAATGCTCGAGCTGACAGTTTGCCGAACACAAACTCAAGGTCCCACTGTATAAAGCAGAACTGTATACTCTCCAGTTTATGCCACTGCGACCTCAAAGAAACAACACGTGAACCCCAAAAATGTTTCAAACTAAAAACATA